AAAAATCCAGTTTTTGAGCTAGAATGCTCATCTTCGAACTCGACCTGTCTTTTCATTGTACAAAACGACCCTGAAAATCCCAGGTCGCTAGCTCAACTCGTTTTCGAGTTATCGTGCGGACAGACAGACAGACAGACAGACAGACGTGCAGACAGACAGACAGACAGACAAAGTTGTTTTCGACCAAACGGAGTAATAGGCTTCGCTAATCGCTCAGCCAATAAAAAAAATATTTTTAAAAACATTTGTGGGACCTGTGGTTTCTGATTTTTAAAAAATCCAATTTTTGAGCTATAATGCTCATCTCCGAACTCGATCTCACTTTTATGATGCAAAACGACCCTGAAAATCCCAGGTCGCTTGCTCAATAGGGTATTCCAGGCTATCCAAAACGGAAGTAGCAAAAGAACAAACTCACTGACTTTTCTCTTTCCGTGATGACTCTTATTGGTTGAGCTGATAACGTGCCACGACGGCGTTTCAGGTATGAAAAACTGTTAGGTCAGTTTCGAACTTGCTGCCATATTTGAGAGGTTAGAATCGGACCCAACTACCATGGTAATTTCTCATACTGAGCAGGCGGAAACAGGTCAATCGGTGAGTTTGTTCTTTTTCACTTCCGTTCTAGATAGCCTGGAACACCCTATTCCTTCTCGAGTTATCGTGATGACAGACAGACAGACGCGAAACTTTTTGATCATCACTGGGGTAATAGGCTTCGCTAATCGCTCAGCCAATTATTTTTCACATGTTCCTATGGGGTAACTCATCAAAGTAGAGGCCTTAGGGCGAAAATTTCGTCCGTTTGGCTCTATCTTTAACCGTATGGGCGCAAGAGGGCGTTTTTCACACGGAAATGACCCCAGAAGATCTTAATGTTTTTTTCTCAGATATTTGATGGTCACTGGTGGGGTTACTCGTCAAAATAAAACCCAGAGGGGAAAATTTGTGACTTTTAGGGCCGCAGCCCCATTTTCGACCCTGGCCTTTGGCCGACTCGGGTGTCAGCGCCGCAGGCCTAGGTAGATGTATGCCAGGCGCGTCGCAGCGTAACAGTGTTTCGTGAGATATCGCGAAGCCTGTTACGCGACACGTGGTCTGGCGTACATCTACCTAGTTATTTTGCAAAGTTTTATCAGTGTAACCACCGTCAGGAATGAAACGCATCGCACCCGTGCCGTGCAGTGCACGCCGCAACGCCGAACACTTTGCCTGGCACCGAAGTACGGAAAAAGCCCGGGAGTGGCTTGCAAAACAAACCGAAATCCAACATGAAAGGCACGTAAAAATAAACTGTTTAAATTAGTGCTTTAATTTTTCAAGAATTAAAACATAAAATTTTACAGTGTCTTTTTAACCGTGGTTGCTCGATCACTAAAAATCATCCGAGACCTCCGTGACAGATGCAAAATTTGGCAAACATATGTATTCTCCTAATTAACAGTGTGACAGTATTAGCTTTTTCACAAAACACCAAATTCTTTATGCAGTGCTTTCAATCTTTTTGAAATAACTTGCCAGGACACACTTTTTCTTCTCAAGTACATCAACCAGTGTGCTTTCAAAGAAAGAGCAGTCTTCCAAGCTGCACTCTCTACGGACTCGCTGGCGTTGTCAATAAAGTTAAAGAGCACTTTTATAACGTCTACCTTCCTCGGGACGCGATTGACGGGGAAGCCCGCCTCTCCTGCGTCTCCATAAACACCTCTTTCCGCAGAGACAACGACATCTCTGCGAAAAGAGAAATAAAAAAGTCATAGAAACCGTCCAATCACGGCTCTATGTACATTTTATGGGGTCAATAAATACCTGGGACGATTAGACTGGCTTCACAAATCACCATGTATATTTGTATACAATCACAAACAAGCAGGCCCGCCCTTCCGCCAAACGAAGTTGCCAGCTCCGCTTCGCTCCGCCGGCAACTCTGTTCGGCAGGGGCCGGGCCTGCTTGGCCTGCCGGCGGCGGTGGTCGGGCCTGCGGCCCGACCATTTCTGTCACACGATTTGCTGAAGAACATGATCGAATGATGTAGAAGGCCTTCGGCCCACCTAAACCCGTCGTCTTTGAGTTTGCCCTAAATACTCGAGAAAGGGATGTAACGGTGAAGCACCGCGACTACAACCCACCCTTCTGCTTAGAAAACGTTTTTTGGGGGTGGGGTGAGAGTTTTCTTTCTATTTTGCGGTTTTTAGGCCTTTTACTACAACTTATTGATCACTATGGCAATTTTTAGCTTATTTTCGTCAAAAAAGACCCTCTAGCGCCTAAACGGTTAGAGATAGAGCCAAACGGACGAAATTTTCGCCCTAAGGGCTCTACTTTGACGAGTTACCCCTTAGAGGAACATAAAAAAAATTCATTTTTGGGAGAATTTTTGAACCTTGGGTACCCCCATTCACACCCTTAGGGGTGGTTGCCAGGATTTGCCGTAGGCGTTTCGTTCTCTAGGAGTGGACCTTAAGATACCCTGAAAATTTGAAGTCTCTAGCACATCTCCTTCTAGTGGAACAGACAGACAGACAGACACGAGGTCGTTTGCATAAGCCCGCTGGATAGCTTTTTCAAAGCAGAAGGGCGGGCTAAAAATCGTGTACACCTGATTACAAAAAAGTGACGATTACCAAGGATTACCGGTGATTACCAAGGATTACCGGTGATTACCAAGGATTACCGGTGATTACCAAGGATTACCGGCGATTGCCAATGATTACCGGTGATTTCCAGGGATTACCTACTCTGTGTACACCTGATTACCTCAGTTGGGCACCCCTCGGGTATTACGAAGTATTACAAGGTATTACAAGGTATTACAGGGTATTACAGGTATTACGAGTAATACAAGTAATACTTGGTAATACATGGTAATACAAATAATATAAAGTATTACAACGTAATACAAGGTAATATTGCGTAATATTGCGCAAGTAATATATGGTAATACAAGATAATACAAAATAATACAAGGTAATACATGGTAATACAAAGTAATACAAGGTAATACACGGAATACAAGTAATATCAGGTAATACAAAGGAATACAGGACCCCGGGACAGAGGAATACACGAGATGTTCACCCCTTGGACCCAGGTGTGAAGAGGCGGTTCATCGAGAACGATCAGTAAGTGATCATGTCCTTCATCACAGCTACGCGCGCTGCCTTCGCTGCCTTCGGCTGGCGCTCAGCTTCATCAAGGACGAGCTGCACGAGCTGCTCACGCCATCACGACCGACACGGCCCATTACTCATTACATTACATTACTCAGAGCTAACCCTCGATTGGCGCCACTTTGTCCCTCCCTCCCTTTCCTCCCCTCTCGTCCACTAGCCTTTCCGACGTACGCCCCCCTGCGCCTCCGCAATGTTGCCAACACGTAATGCAATTACATTGGCATACGGTGAAATGCTTGTACATGCGGTGCGTGGCAATGACATGTGCAGCCATTGCAATTCTAATTTTATATCAGGGCTGGGCCGCTTACAGAGCAGAAATTAGTCAAATACGAGAACTGGTTTGCTGGGCACGACTATGTATCTTTGTTGGTACGACTTATTCAGCCCTCAGAGCCAAAAACACCGCACGCCATTTCTAGCCTGTAGCCTGTATTTGTCAAAGCCCCGGTACCGTCGATTCGTGTTAAATCAATACAATATAATAATAAGTAAGTAACTGATGCTTTGAAGCTCGGAGTAACGTTAAAACAATTAGCAAGTAAGTGCCATGGGTGACCCCTTTCACCGTTCGAATTAGGTGAAGCTGATTGAAGAACTCGCTCGTAGTTCTTACCCAGGTAGAACACAATCGTCAAAAACTTGTCAATGACCCTCAATGGACGTCAAAATAAGCTCATTCTGGTTACCTAGGCGCAGTAAATTTTGACAATGAGGGTCGAAATGAGGTTATTTTGACATCATTTTGACAGTAGATTTGTCCGTAAATTTGCTTGTAGCCACTCTGTATAGGTCTAGAGGTGTGACGTAGGCCATATTTCTCAATACAGATAAATACAGAGTTCTAACTTATTTTTTTAAAATAAAAATCTGTATTCCCTTGATGAGTCGAAACAACCAAGGTGTCAAATCAGTTTCTTATTTATCACCAATTTCTCCGGAGGAATCCTGGGCGTTGACTTTAAAATTGATATATACTATAAAAATAAAAGTTCACCCCCTTTACCACTACTGTTTTTTAATGGATATTTTTTTTTGTAATTTCTCCAGGAAAGGATCCAACAAACATGTTTGGCATGTTTTCTGCTGCTGGCCTTGATCCCTTGCCACCAGAACAGCAGCAGCAACAGCAGTAACAATGGCTGCAAATGCAAAATATGATGGGATTTAACATGATGGGGATGAATTTTAATGCTCCAATGCCGTTCATGTCAATGCCTATGATGCAGCAGCCGACTGCACCAGCCCCGGCAAACATTATCCAAAAGCCTCTATAGCAGCTAGTGCTGCAGCTGGCTCAGCGGAACAACTTAAGTCACCCGTTGAACCTATTCAGGTATTATCACTGTCTTAGCTCTCAAAGTAAAGCATGTGAGTGCTTAAAATTAGAAAAAATCAAAGTGCATTGCAACTATTCGGTATGGTTATTACATATGAAAAGCTGTATAAAAGATGGTGAAGA